AAAAAAAAAAAAAAAAAAAAATATTAGAAACAAGAATCAACCACAAGTATCTTCACTTCACATAAGTATCAATAATTTGTCCTAATTTTCACAAATAAAAAAAAAGGGGTAAAATTCACAAGGAAAAATAAATATAACCAGATTGAATTTATTCACCTTCTTAACAGTTTCTCTGAGGAGAGTGGGGCTGAGGTGAGGAGCAACAGCCGCCATTTTCATCCTCTGAAGCTTTGGTGGGGTTCTTGCAACCATTTTGATAACAAAAATGGAAAAGAAAAAATAAAAGGGTAAAAGGGGAAAAAAAAAGGGGTAAAGTACGTGAGAGGTGTGTGTTTTGTGGTTGTGTCGAAATGTCAGATGAAAGTGGTGACGAAGTCCAACTTGTAATGAGAACTCGAATTTTTTTTGGGTGCAACGGATAGTAAGTGGAGTGGAGCACTGTATCTCTCGTGTGCTGTTCTAACGGTCGAGTTGCTATTTTTCATTTATTATTGTTGTTGAATTGTTATAGAATTAAAAGTTGATATTAAAGTTTTGCGGTCTTAATGAATAAAAAGGGTCATTTCTCTTTCAAATAACCTCGTTCGACATTTTTTTTTCAGTTATTTTGTCAGCTAATTTTATAATTCATAAACTATAATTTATAAGTTCAAAAGTCACTTATAAGCTATAAGCTAACTTATCATCTATCAGCAAGCTTATAATCTAGTTTTATCAAGCATAACACAAATTTCCTGCATCCAAACAAATGAAACTTATGACTAACTTTGTTAAAAAGGTCAAACTTACCTCATAAGCTTCTTTAGATAGCTCTTCAAATTAGCTTGTTGAAATTTTTATTTCAGCTAACTTTGTCGAATACTTTTATCATATAAACTAGCTTTTTCAACTATATAAGTCATAAAATATAAGCTATAAGCTCAAAAATTACTTAACTATCAGATATTTTTACTAAACATAATCTGTATATTTCACTTGTGTGATGGACTTAATTGTATTTTCTATTTTTTACATATAAGGTGTTTGATAAAATGATGGACTTAATTGTATTTTCTATTTTTTACATATAAGGTGTTCGATAAAATGCCTAAATGACGTCGATGAGTTCATATATAATATAATTCAATATATAATATAATCAATATTTGATAATATTGAGGATGTTCGGGTTAGATTTCGAATGAAAAATTTGAACTTGAGAAAATGGACTGAGACGAAGTCGATGTAGAACAAGGAAAATCACATTTTGTTTGAAAAGTTCACACTCCCAAGTTCAAATAAAATGAAACTAGTCAGTCAAATACAAAGCCACATGAATGTCTGGTCAATTCATATTTCAAATATTTCTAATTAACGAATTTTAAGAAAAGATTAAAAATCTGGTTCCCCAATCTTTTTGACATAGATCAAAAAACCAGAGAACTTACAAAACAAAGAACCGATCAACCTGACAGAGATGGAAAAACCTTGTTGCCAAAAATCAGTACAACAACAGAATCAAGAACTATAACTATCAACATAGACTAAACAAAGCAAGCAAATTTGCATCTGATGCAACCACAAAACCTTCAAACAAAACCCTTTCCGAGTCTTGACCAACTTAACTGCTCACAGCCTTTGGCCTGAGCTCAATCCCCTGAACAATCAAACCACTTTTCCAGTTACCATCATTCACTTCCATCACGCCGAACTCCAAATCACCATCTTCTCTTCCCTCGACAAAATACTCTCCCAATTCAACCTCAATCCATCCATCACTTCTTTGTTTCGGGTATTTAGCATTGGACTCAACCTCTGAATCATCCTCCACTGTCTGTTGTTGTCTCACTAGACGAGGCAGCCGATTGTAAAACGAACCCAAGGTCCTGAGCACAATGTGCCTTCTCGGTTCATGAGATTCATCCCGATCGAGAAAAACTCTGTGCTTTTCACTAGCATGGCCGTTTAATTCCACAAATGCCTCGGCCGGGTGGTCGAATCCATAAGCCCCCGATTTGTGAGCGAAAACTAAGTATGCTGTGTAGCACGTGCCCCGAGACAGCATCTTGGTGCTGATTTTGCCACGTATCTCAAACCAGCACACGTTGAGAAGCTTTGCCACTTCAGAGAACCTGAAGCAAACGGACTGAGTTAGCACGGTTTCCAATGACAACTCTAGTCCGAAAATGGGGATATATTTCAAATTTAGGATTTTTTTTTTCTTTTTTCTTTGTGTGTTTTATCGTACAACAGAATGAACGAAAAGACCGGATTAGGGCTGCAAACGAGTCGAGCGGCCCACGAGCTACTCGCGAGCGCTCGAGTCAAAACTCAACTCGACTCGAGCTCGAGTTTGACCGAACTTGAGTCGAGCTCGAGCAGCTCGAGTCGATCTTGAGCCCAAATTTTCAAAGGTCGAGCCGCGCGAAATATGCGGTAAAATAATTAAATACTAATTCACAAAATTGTCATAGGTACATAATTTGTATTTGTTAAAATTCGAGCCTATGTTACCCGGACTCTTCTATTTAGGAAGAATACCCGTGTCATGTTGTGTCGACACTGGTGTGGGTATGAGTGTCGGGTGTGACATTTTAGCCTAAAATGTTCAAGATTTCTAAACTATTGACGAGTCGGACGCTCATATCTCCACACCCGATACGCACCCATATCCGAGTCCAAGTAGCATAGATTCGAGCTGAACTCGAGTCGATCTCGAGCATTTCCGTTTGTTTCACGAGTCGAGCTCGAGTGTCATTTTAATGGCTCATCGAGCTCGAGCCCGAGCAATGAAAAAAAATCGAGCTCAAGCTCCTACGGTGCATGCTCGACTCGACTCGACTCGTTTGCAGACCCAGACCGGATAGACCGGATATTGTGGTAAGACCCTGACCGATTAACACAAAGCTACCAGGATAGAAGGAGGCTAAAAATTACCTAGAC